CCCCCCCCCCCGTTCCACCCCCTTAAAGCACTATGACTGTTATTCCAGTCTTGGCGGACTGTGGGGGCAGACAGACAAACAGACAGATGTTCTGGTTGGAAAATGTGGAGCTGAGAGATCATCAGTTTTCTCAGGGAACTTTATGGGAATTTTCTTTTGTCTTATAACAAAACCATTAGGTGCCACCTTTGCTCTGCTGTGGAATGCACTGATTTGTGTCCCCCCCCCCATCCCCTGTACCAGATGGGTCACAGTTTTTGAACCGACCTGTAGGAGGAGGAAACATCTGCAGCCAAGAGGCTCAAACCTCTCCAGGAKTTCTTGTCGTTTCCTCGATTTCTCTTTCTTAGTCTGAAAGAAACATCTGTCTCTGATTAAAACCTCCCTCCCTCCGAGCTCACGTCACCCCCTCATGTCTCCCACAATGTTGTGATATTTGCCTGTATCTTTTCTAGAACCCCCTACCCTCCTTCCTCTTCTCTCTGGTTCACTCTCTCCTCCCTTTCCCGAAGAGCCTCCTCCTCCCTCACCTCCCTTCGTCCTGTTACCTCTCTCTCTGGTTTGCTTCATTGTACCACGATGCATCAGGGCTGCGTCTGGGGGCTCCTTTTCATCCTGTCCCTCACAGTGGGGGGGACGAAGGCTCAGCAGACCAACTACACCAGGTACGGTCCAAGGGTGGGATTAAAACTAGCAGGTCTAAACTCTCAAGTTCAGGCCAGAGTGACTCKCTTTATGCAGATTCTTTACTGGTTTATGGGGTGTACAGTTGTCCTGTTGGTTTGCTTTTCAGTTTTACTTAAATCCCAGAAACTTGGCTCTGACACTGTAAAGTTTTTGGTTTTAAACCGGAAGCCGTCTCACTCTTCAGGCAGGGGGTCCACCGTCTGAGTCCTACTCATGGAGTAACAGTGTGTTCAGTTCTGATTGCCTAATAGTGTGTTTGTCTGCTTCATCAAACACACAATTTAATGAAACTAGACTGTAACCACAGGACTTCAACAGGTTAACCTTTTGAAGTTAGCACTGTTCAAGATGGCCACCACAATATTCTGAGATCTAACAGATTGTTTAATATCTTCAATAAAATCTCTTTCTCTCTGTCAGCAAAATATCCTATGAAGCACTGAATGTATTKTAATGAAACTAATAGGAAATATTCACTCTTGGAGCCATCCCCACTCAAGATGGCCACCACCACCAGCTGACCTTCATCAGGGAACTGTTGTATTTAATTTCTAAATTTAATTTAGGATTAAAGCTCCATTTTTATGCTCATTTGTGGACAGACTGAGTTTTACAGCTCTGTCAAAGATCCTCTATATGACAGGATAACCCGTCTGACAGAAAATATTTGTCATTTCAGAGTTTGTTAATGCTTCTTTCACAACGTTTGACTCCGACCCCCCTTTCACAACCGCAAAAACAATAAAAAAAGAAAAGATTTTCACAGAAAGAAGTGTTTCGTCATTTTAATCAGCTCATTCATACTAGAAAAACAAAACATTCAAGTCTTTTTAAAGACTAAAACCCTTGATGAAAGAATCTTTCAGGGAGTAAAGAGTGACTCAGCAGAAAAATGTTGYGGTTCTCCTCAGTGTTTTTCTCATCTCAGGCCTGTGTTCCACTGTGGAGGAGACCAGGTGGCAGAGTCTGGTTTTGTTGGCAGTGAGGGGTTCCCCAGCTTCTACAGACCCAGCAGTAAATGCACCTGGCGCATTACAGTGAGTCAGCGCCAGCCGCCAAACCCTTCTGACTCCTCCAGCCTCAGCTCACAGATGACATCTCTGCTCCGCAGGTACCAGAGGGGAACGTGRTCACGCTCTCCTTCCGTGTTTTCGACCTGGAGGCAGACTCTCAGTGTCGCTATGATTACCTGGACGTCTWCAACGGACACTCCAGCTCGGCACAGAAGCTGGGTCGTTTCTGTGGGACATTCCGTCCCGGCAGTCTGATCTCCACCTCTAACACCATGATGCTAGAGATGGTGACTGACGCAGAGACTCAGTCCAGAGGATTTGTGGCCTTTTTCAGTGGAATAAAACCTTATGTTAACGGTAGGTGGTCTCAATACCCCTCACTGATGAACTGTATAATCAGGACAGAAAAATGTTATCTGTTGGGACATTTTAGGTATTTATGAAGAACTTTACCCAGAAAGGGTAACCTCTACCCTGGAYCGGTTCAAATCCCGGTCCGGGGACCTTTCTGGGTAGAGTTTGCATGTTCTCTCCGTGCATGCGTGGGTTCTCTCCGGGTACTCCGGCTTCCTCCCACAGACCAAAAACATGACTGTTAGGTTAATTGATAACTCTAAACTGTCCCTAGTGTGAAAAAGAAAAAGCGTGTAGAGAAAATGGACGGATGGATGGATGGATGG